TTTTTTTGGGTTGATATTATAATAATATCCAATATTGTTAAGATCTTGTGCGGCAAGAAACAAAATCCAATATTTTCCTAAACTAGGAATAAGAAACCCTAGCACCACCAGGAGCTTTGATGACTTCTTTAAATTACACTGCACTCATAGATATTGAGATTAATTAAATAGAACAGCAAAGACTCCCCTTGTCGGCAAGAAGATCCACGAATTTGAAGTTTCTTGTGCCCTTTGCATTCTTTCTATAATCAAAGTGGTGAGACTTGGCTTTTCTTTTTTCTTAATTAAAGCTGCATGCACCTCCACATTCATATATGTATATATCACATGCACTTATATATTTGATTGTCTGTATGAAAATTTTGCTGCAGTTTGCGCATTTGCCAAAGGAAAGCATACTCTCGTTGGAAGGGTGCAACGTATCTGTTCGTGGTTGTTTTTGCAGTTCACACACAAGAACCCACCTCTTTGGGACCTATCAAGAAACTTGCTGGTGTGGTTGTTGAATTCCTTTGGAATGGTAGCAAATATACTTGGCAGTAAGAATGAACTCACTTTCAGTTTCATCATTCCCTTCTGTACTTGCGTCAGTTTTTTTGTTTTTTGTTTTTTCAATATTGCCAAAGTTAAAATTAATCTTCTCTTGCAGATTCTTTGACAACACGGTGCTTCGTGCAGAGATTTTTTTTTTGACAACACAGTGCTAGGTGGATTGGTATCATAAGCGAAGAACGTGAAGAACGTAGACGTCCTATACCGCTTGGGTTTGATCCATTTCTCCGATTTGGTGATAGCCCGCTCAAGCGCTTAGGCTTTACGTGGTGGAGGACGAGTGAAGAACGTAGACGTCCTATACCGCTTGGGTTTGATCCATCTCTCCGATTTGGTAATAGCCCGCTCAAGCGCTTAGGCTTTACGTGGTGGAGGACGAGTGAAGAACGTAGACGTCCTATACCGCTTGGGTTTGATCCATCTCTCCGATTTGGTAATAGCCCGCTCAAGCGCTTAGGCTTTACGTGGTGGAGGACGAGTGAAGAACGTAGACGTCCTATACCGCTTGGGTTTGATCCATCTCTCCGATTTGGTAATAGCCCGCTCAAGCGCTTAGGCTTTACG